CTTCTCGAACAGCAAGGTAGAGAACAAGCAAAATAATAGTAGATATTGGTAGAGAACAAGCAAAATAATAGTAGATGTTGGTAGAGAACAAGCAAAATAATAGTAGATATTGGTAGAGAAAAAGCTTGATTGGAGAAGAAAACTAGTGTTAAAAAAACGTTGGTGAGCAAAAAAATCAACGTACTTTTTTCAACTGCATCCGCTGATGCTTCATGTATACGGATCAATGCACAGCGACCAAGCAGATTTCCCGATGTATATAAAGGGATGATTTTGCTTTAGTATTTCACATTTGAACAGCATCTTTATTATAAAGCACCATTCGCATCGTGGTTACTGATATTTCCCGCACTGGTATACATAGCCAAGGTATGTATTTTGATTTTGTCTTTATTATATTCGTGCTTCAGTTGTACATTATGTAGTACGTAGATCGATCGGAAAAGAATGGTAGAGGTGTTGTATTTCCGTAAATAAAGCTTGAAGAAATTGTTTTGATTACATGTAGTGATAGTAGAAATGCTCCTGTTATTGCGTGCTATTCGATTACTCTTGAAGTAATAACATAGTAATAAAACTTCTATAAGAAGTGCTTTTGTATATAATTAAACGGCAACATTAAATCATAATATCAACCATGTATATTCTTTTTTTGTCTTTCTTTTTTCTCTTCTCTTTTCTTTCACCTTTTCTTTGTGCGTTCTAGCGCTTAGTCATGCATAAAGACATACACATCAAGGCACTTGCCTTGTTTGTTCTGTGTGCATGTCTTTTTTTCTTGTTTATTTTCAAAATATATAAAAAGGAAAAAGTTAAGTCACACTTGTATAGTGTTCACAAACAAATGATTCAATCAATGGATCAAACAAATCCAATTGTTTTTGAATAACGAAAGTGATTATTGTGAACGTTTGATGGAATAAAAACTTCCTGAACTTCTTTCTGTATTTTTTTCTCTTCTACCATTGTTATTTTTTTTACATTCTAATATGCTTGAAGGACGAAGCGTTAGTACAGTGGAGAAAGAAAGGTGAACAAGAAAGAGAGGAGACGAAGAAACGAAAAAACAGAAAGAGAATACATATGTATGATAATAGCATGTGACATTGAAATTTTAACGAAACTAAAACCGTAAATAGTTCACATCTTTACTACACGTTCAAAAGGCATAAAAGTTTCTGAACAATTAAATTTTCGTTCGAAAACCAAACGCGTTATGAATGCATTTCGTGTATAGTTTCTGCGATTTTATTGTCCTTGCAATCTCACTACGTGTTTACGCTTTGTTTCTCTTTCTTCAGCTCACGGGGATGAAAGATAAAAAAGAAACAGAAAAATCTATCTCATTTAAAATATAATAAATTGTAAATTAAGTGAGAAAAAAACGTATATGTAATGCATTATGAGACAAATTATATATGAAAAAGCATACAAATGATAAAAAGTTATGTTTATTTTTATATATAAACTATAAAACAAATATTTTTTATTTATTTCAATTTTAATTTACTCCTAAGTCAGTTTATGCGTAAACCAAATCCAAACTGAGAACAAATTGACATTTCTGAAATGATGAACAAAATTCGTATTTCAAATAAATAGTAATAATAATATTTTATGTTTATTTTTCCATATCAGTGATAGTAATTTCTGGTGAAAAAATATAGATTATGACTAATATTTTTCTGGTCTAAATTCTAAACACTAATACTATATGTCTATTTTAAATTTACATTACTGCTAATGTAGTTATGACAAAAGAGAAATTGAAATTAAAAATAAATTGAGATCTCCAACATTGTCCTAAAACATTTTTATTTAGAAATTCATAAAGATATTTTTGTTATATTTCATATTTAAAAATGAAGACGAATTATTATTATTTATTTTAGTTTTACATATAAATTATGACAACTTATACTTAAAATGAATACACATAATCATCAATTACACTTTTTTAATGCAAATTATAAAGGACACTTGTTGTCATAGCTTCATTCTAACTAAAACATGGAATGCACATGTTTCCAGTAACGTAGAATACTCATTGGTACTCAAAGCTAGTTACTATGGTCTTTAGCAGAGACGAAGAGCAGTGGAGCACAATGGACAGTCAGGTGAGAAAAGGTTTTTACTTGAAATATTATTTTCTCAGTTGCATAGAGTACTAAATATGTGAATTGTAGCTCATACGAAAGAGAATCAATCCTGTAACAAAACGCATACTTACTTCTTATAGAAATTCATTTCTACAAAAATTGTTTCAAAAATGCTAGAAATATATTTGTTTCTGACGTTTTGCTTACTGTCCACTCTGTGGATAGGGAGCCACGTAAACTTCGCCTTAAAACTGATAGTCAGTATTTCCTCCGAAAATATACCTGAGTTCCACAAAAACTCTACATATATTTTTTTGTTAATTTGAAATACTGACATTTTCATTTACACATAAATGTAATTTAAAGTCGACGTTAACTGACATCCTGAACACATTTGAAAAGTTCATATTTGGGAATAAATATGAACTACCACTATTGATATTGCTAATAAATATAAATGATGACATTTTTTTAATCAACGGTAATTTCTATTCATTTCAAATCAAGTTACTATTAATTTGGTGTATGAATTAAGGAAATTGTAAATAAATATAAACAAATATCCCTAAAATAATGAAAAAAAGTTTACATTTGGCAATAAGCATAAACTCTCCTGGTCTATCTTTTTAACAAATATGAATGACCATAAATGTTTACATCTAAATATAAACTACAAAGAATAGTAATATCTCTATATTTAAAATTCATGTGACTAACAATATAATATACGTATTAATGAAATCCAAGGTAGAGCTTAGTTGCATCACTATAATTTGAAAAAAAACTATAGTTAAAAATATATATTAATTATCATTGTTCATATTTTAAATAATTACAAATTTTTTTTTGATAATTCATGTTTGAAGAAAAATATCATTCATTACTAGTCATATATAAAATAAATATAAATAATGATATTTTTCAGTGTTAGTTTATCTTTGCTTTCAATTTCATTTATGCGTAAATTAAACTATTCCTAACTTAACATAAATAAATAGAAAGGAACTTTCTTTATAAATTATAAGTTGAAATAAATATATAACTTACCATCACTTATTTTATTATCAATAGAAACAATGATAATTTATTATTATTTTTTAATATTAATTTTTAAAAATATTGTTAGCTGTGACAGTTTATATTTGTTTTAGATGTAAGCTATCACTAATTATATTTATAACAAATATAATCAATGATAATTCGTATACATTTTCAAATAGAATTTTTTCCTCATTTTCAGGGTGTCAGTTTATGTTTTCTTTGCGTTTCGTTTATTCATAGATTAAATTATTGATACTGTTAAGTTAAAAAAAATATAAAGTATTTTTTATTAGAGCTGTGATTTGAAAAAAATAACTTGTCATCATTTATATTTACAAAAAATATGAACAATAGTAGTTTATATTTACTGTTAAATATAAATTTTTTCATAATTTAAGCGATTACAGTTAGATCTGTGACAGTTCTAGACCAAGGAACTGAGCTAGCCTGTATATCCAGTTCTTGGAAAAGAACGAGCTCTTGGAACAGTAAGCTCTCAGATATTTCATGGCGTCTATCTTCACTTACAGTTTGACTTATATTGTAAAACAATTTACTGGTAACTTACTTTTAAAATAAATAGAAATAATTTTTTTTCAATAATTTTTCTTGAAAAATGAAAGCGAGCTTTCATTATATATAGTCATGTCAAGTATAAATTGTGATAGGTTATGCTTACAATAAATATAAATAATAATGAGTTATACTTATTGTAAATGTATATTTCAGAAAAAAATTACCGTACATTCATGTTAAATCGAAAATACTGAGCATTTGATTGACGCATAGATGCACGTGGAAGTAACGATAAATGGACAGCTCGGCAATCATAAAGAAAGCTTTATATTTAAAAAAGAAATAGAAACCATCGTTATGTATATTTTAAGTAGATGTAAGTTACGGATCGTTTATAATACCACTTTCGCTGTCTATTACCCAGAAATGAATAATGCGTAATTTCTGCGTTTTATTTCAGAAATGTTTCCCAAATCAAGTTTATCGGCTTGTGAAATATTGGTTAGTTTACGTTGTCATGGACTTCACATGACCGCCATTCTCTTATTGGTCTGTGTATGTCTGAAGGATATGAATACCAACGCTATGGCTGGTGATAACCAAGGTTTGTCAACTTTTTCTTTGAGCTAAACAGTAGACCCTGTTATATATAAAGACATTATTGTAAAAATTTCAAAACTACTATGAGAGAATAGAAGCGATGGAAAGTTGAGTTTGTCAGCAACAGAAACGTACAGGAAAGAAATTCCGAAAAAAGCATAGGAATTATATGTCATAGAGACTGTATTGAAAACGTTTAGAAGGATTGAGCTTGTTTAAGGGCATTTTGGTTGTTGCAAAACCAGTTTTGCATCATGCAGTGCAAAAATAGTCAATTCTCAAGAAACATGTGATCTTTCAGCGGTATTGCGATAATTACCATCTTTTAATAAGTTTTGAAAACGACTCAGTTGAAACTAACTAGTAACATAGTAGATTTCTTTATTTTTTGTATCAAAAAGAGTGATTCTCACTATCGAAAATATCTTATCTTTCATGATAGTTAGTTAAGAAGTTTTAAAGGACTCATGCAGTCTGGCGTTATAAGGCCTGAAAGTCGGTAATTATCTCTCTATTCTACATATCTCTTTCTTGCAGAATTGAATGAATGAAGACTTAATTAATAAGCATATCAATTTTTCTGCGCAATCCTAATGATATGTCACTTAGCTTAGAGTTGTAGTTGTTCATGAGCGACTTTCACTTTTCAAGATATTTAACATCACTGCGTATAGATTATTTCAATGATATAAGTACAATAATGCAGATGACTTAATCTAAACTGTTTTGAAATTTAAAAAGTTCTTAGGGATTTAAGTCCTGATTATTTCGAAACCAAAATATCACTGATGTTGAACCTAAATCAGAGAAGATTAAAGTATTTTTCGAATTTTCGTCTTGAAGTCACCAAAGAAATTTAGATAGTGTTCAATTGAGATGCTGTTCGCCAAGTTTCTAGAATCATATAGAAAGCCTAATTATACTTTCGGATAGCGAAAAAAACGCAACATTGTTGCACAAATGATAAATACCTATTTTTAATTTTATAAAAAGAATCTTTTGACCATAGTATTAGTAATATATATATATAATTGGAGCATAAAAACTAATTTCTGTAATGCAAGCTCACATTTGAATCATCAAATATGTTGGACGTAGAACATCTCCTAGTCATTCGAATACTTTGTTGCATGTAACGAGGTCTCACAATTACTTCCTTGCTACAGTTCAACTATAAGACTTGCAACATCGAAATCATAGGTCATGATAAATAGTACGTCTTTCGAGTGAATATAGAATTGCTCGGATGCAGCTATAGCTCAGATAATTAAATATCCGTTATGGAAAAAGGCTATCAAGGAACAATCTGTAGATGATAAAAGTCTGATGTTATGAGACTTCATTCATTTAATCACGGCTTTACGAGAGTAGCATCGTCAATACAAGTATGTCCTCGAATCTTTCTTCTTACTTTATAATTAGTTCATCAATTTTTTAATTCATAGTTACGTTTGTTCAGAGAAATCGAATAAGGGTATTGCCGCGAATAATTTTGTTCGCTAAAAAAGATTGGATAGTTATTATAGTGAATCAAAATTTGCTGTAAATTCGATTATATTGTGTCCACAATATTTATTTCTGAAGAAAACGGAATGTTTAAAATAATCTATAAGCAGTTTAGAAACCAATCAATACAGAAAGAGGTTATTCAAGAAACGCTTGTAAAAGTTGCTTCTAGAACTGTTGATATGGAGTTCCAAAACGTGAGAAAATGCTTCTTTACAATATAATGACACAGAATCAGAAAACGTTTGTCAGTCCTTTGTGCGAAGATGAAAGAGTATGTGTGGACTCAAATTACGAATGGGCAGTCAATCGTACCATATATGAAAATCATATTCAGACGATATAATGAATCGAGCCATATTTCCTAATTTCCCAAGAAGGGTTATAAAAAAGATCTTGCTCATACTGTCGTGTCCGGTTTATACTACAATAGAACAGTAAAAGATAAAGTAGACTTGATGAACTTCTCACTTGAAAACGACGATGTGACAACAACAGTCCTATGAATAAGACCCAAAGATAATAAAAATATGAATGTATGATTTTTACTGGTGCGAAGACCTTGCTTACAACCGAAAAATCAAAAAGCCAACAGTGAAGTAATTTCTCTTGATTACTGCATCGTTGGTACATTCAGACATATTATCTGAAGTTGATGGTTCTGAGTCGTTTTTTCACGACTATTGTCAGATCAATATATCTCGTTTACCAAAAACTTGTTAGCAGCTGTCATATGATGCATGACCTAGAAGAACTCATGAGACGATAATAATTCAACATACATCCATATTTTCTCAATATATCACATGAGAAGTCGCGTCCAGACTTTATTTCAGTCCTCGGCATCATCGGACCGTATTCGAGTCGATCATGACAGGTGATGTCAAAGTTCTTGGAAATATGTAATACTATGTTGCGCTCAAATAGATAGATATCAAAAGCTTGTGTGTTTTTGATAGATAGAACATAATTCGTAGTTTATAGAGATATTTTTATTCGTTTTCTTTTATAAGCAAGCAGCAACATTCATTTGAGTTTTTGTAAACTCTTAAAAAAACAGCCTGTAAACATTTTTACAGTAAAGAATCGAATATTCGACGAAGAAATCTCAGTATAGTGTAGATGAACATTTGATCGGAATCTGAGAATATGATTTCGAAGTTCATTATATTGGAGTCTTATCTTCGTATGCGCTAAGATTCAATAAATAACTCTGAGTGATTGAGGGCAATCCGTCCAAAAGTGCTCATTTGTAGTTCTTATAAGATAATTATGACATTATCGTGAGAAATCTTTTCGATGTTATTTTCTACCACTAATAATGTATATACTTGAAATGAAAGCCAGAATAAAAAACGAAGAAGATTACAGAGGTCGAAATATGCTTATTCTAGAACATGTCTAAAACCAGCCGACTTCGATCAAAGCTTCCTATCATAATTGAATATTTTAACAGTATTTCGATGTTTTATGCAAGTGGATTGTATGAGTTTTGCTATATCTCTTGCTTAGACAATATTTGACACAATCAGTTCAGTCTAACGCTATCAGTTGAGCAACATTGATCATGGAAAATGTCATGTGACTGATGTACTTGTTCCAAGTTGTCAAAATGGTATATTTTTCTCATAACAGAATGCAAGAAACTATAGTTATATTTCTCAAAAATGTCTGTCACTAGTACCATAAAAGCTGAGCCAGAGGACAGTACCAGAATCAACTTCTCCTGTAAGTGCAGTTGTTGTTCACAAGCGAAAATTGAGAACTTTAAATAAAGTTGAACTCTTTTAAGAAACGAACATCTTGCAGAAATAATTCCTAGCCCATACTATCGAGAATAATAACGAGAAAGATGATTAAAGATATTCTTCCTTGGGATGCTATTTGACGTTCATAAATCAGTTTTTCGGTTATATCGATTATCGTCGAGCAAATTTTTCAAATAATGACTCATCGCCTTTTTGAAAAACATGCTTCAAGGAATGACTGCTTATTTTTGTCTTTCGTTTTATATTTTAGAATTTGACAAATTTGCGCAGACGTTTTCAGCCATTGGTTCGCCAAACAAGTATTTATTCCGTTCAAACCGCGACGCTGGTGGTATATCACCAGGTAAACAACGTTATGTTTCATAGTCTTTTTTGTATATATTGACACAAATACTTTTCGTAGTAAGTTTTGAAAAACATAAATTAATAGCAAAATTTTAAAAAGACAATCGCTCTCAAATTTTGTTTTCCAATAATGGTCAAATCTATAGTTTGATCAACGAGTTAAGCTCTTATAGATAAAGAATACCGAGTTCCTCAACTTCTGCGATTTTTGTAAGTCAAGGAATCGCAATTTAAACACATTATAGCATAATAGAAATGTCTTGATAGTACATTGTGTATCATTTAAGAGCTACTTAACTTGAATAGAAATAAAAATGTTCACTGAGCAAAAATACTTATTCATAAAATGAGTAGCCTGTTATATGAGACATTGTTTACTAATGAATTCCCTCGAATGTTAATTTGCAAATTAGGCGCTCAATAATATCTACGTGTTCCGTGCCAAAGTGAGGTATTTTTTTCTTCACCCTAATAAATTAGCTTTATTTTATAAAATATTCAGCACAAAAAGTATTTCTTTTTGCATCATATAGTAGCTTTCGAGTAACATCAACTCAAAAATTTCATGAATAAAGTGCTGAGAGAGTCGCTAAATAGACGAAA